GTGAAATCACCAGTGTTGTGGCAATGCCAACTGTCCTTGAGGCATTCATTAAGTGCGTATAGGGTTCACGAATAAACATGTTGGCAAGACTGAGCATACTGACTGGAAGAGAGATCTCTGGTTTTCTAGGGAGGAGTTGAGGCCAGAACTAGACCTTCTAGTAACGGGGTTCAATACCTGTAATCATCTGAAGCCATGGGCCTATGCTGCTTATCTGGGTTCCTAAAGAGCAGATCCAAAGTGGAGGATTTCTGATGGGTAGTTGGCAGAGGGCCAGGAATAGACAAGGATGCAGCTGCTGTGCTAGGACCTTTTTCAGTTCATTCTGATTGTCAAAGAATGCCTAAGGAGGCACAGAACCACTAATGAGGTATCAGGGTAGCATGATGGTACACTTTATTCTCAGTGGATTTCTGTAGGTTTCATGGATATCTGATATAAATACCAGAGAGCGAAACTTTCCATCCATGTACCCAGGTCTGAGACATTTAGTTGCTTTTAGTCCTGCACACAGGTTATCGGGCTGGGAGATGCAAAGCACCAGGTAGTCCAGGACTTTCTTGCATCACATCAGGTATTCGCTGACCATTCCAAACCAACATGGCTGGCCTTGCTTATGCCTTTCAGGGACACTGGGGCTGCAGAGGGCCTGAGGCATGTATCTATCCTCAGAGATTGGAGACAGACACATGGCTTATGGTCCCCAGTTTAAAGATAGCTGCTCTGAATTCTGGGGCTTCACTGGATTCCATGCATTTCTTCTTTCTCAGGACTCCTCTTGGGACTCCACATGATCTCTCTTGGCCCTATGCCATTCACCTGTACAAATTCACTTTTGTTTATGTACCTACAAGGACTACTAGGAAGGCATCATCCACACCCGTCTTCCTCATTGAGCAGGAGCAACACCTGAACCAGATGGATAAACCTAACCTTCAGCTACAGATGATGACCAATGAGAGGAATGAACTGCTTGAATTCCTGGCCCTTTGTAACAATGAGTTGGACAACAGCTATTCATCATGCCTTGTTCTCTGGTGACTCTCTTGACCCTACTGTGTCCTGAGTGCATCCGAGAGACAGAACTGAAGTGAGTGAGATAGGACATAGGCTGTTCTGCTTCCTCCAAGTGAAAACCAGAGCTTGTGGCCTGAATCACAATCTACAGAGAGGGTCAGTAGGGTGTAAGATCACAACATGCATTTCAAGAGGCCTTGACAGACATTGGCGTTTAGGAGATGCTTGGTTCTCTAGGTTGAGTGTTTATATTTGACACTTTATTTTTGCTTTTTGCTCTAGGAATAGCCTGAAAGGCCTTGTGGTCCTACCTGGTCCATCTGTGTGTCTGGAAGGCCTGGATTTCATCCCTGCTCCTCTCTAGTCTTGTTCCTTTTACTATGAGACAATGCCACTTACCTGCATTTCTCTGACATCCTAACTGTGTGTGGGTTTGTGTGTGTGAAGTGCTCTCTAAGGGGCCCAAACGTTGCAAACATGGCAGTGGCAGGTTTTGCCCTTTTCACTTCCCTCTCCCTTGATAAACCATTAGATTACATTCCTAAATTAGTCCCCAAAGTCCATTTCCTTTTGTGGAAACTGACTCATTGTTGAAACTAAACACCAAAGTCCAACAATCGAAATTCATTACTTGGTTACACTGGCTAACCTGTCCCTTCAGAGCTCAACAATTTACTCAGTACAGACTTAACCTTTTCTACTTAAAAACCCACTGTTAAAAAAGCCTGCTGCTTGCTCTTTGCCTTCACCTGATCAAGAGACAGGCTCCCAAACTATTCTTGCTTGCCCTGCTGTGTTAATAAATCTCCTTGTGTTGAGGATTGTGTGTCTGAGTATGTTATGTACTGTCTCTGATAGGCTCACTTACAGTGTGTGTGTGTGTGTCTGTGTGTGTGTCCTTCCTGATCCTGAGAGTCAGAGATTGATAGTAGGCCTGAATATTCACATGCTTCAAAGACTTTTGGTGATGTAAGTGCTGAGGCCAGGGAGCCCCACATTGAGCATCACTATTGTCAGCTTTGTGATCATCCTGGTCCCTCATTGGAATACTCTTGGTAGTTTATAAAGCCATCCTCATGTAGTGCCTCCTCCACAGAAATACTGATTATGAGCCCTGGGTATCCTTATAAGGAGAAAGAATTTCTGTTCTCAAGACAGTGGAAATGTCATTGCAGATTTCAAATAGACCCCGATCTGTGGCACAGACTCCTCAGACCCTCTTAGCCAGCTAGTCTGCCCCTATAGGTCTACTGAGGGAGCTCATGTAGTCCTGTCTCCGTCCCTATTGAAACCCAGTCTTTCCTGGCCCTTGGGCAATGAGGCAAGACTAATGCACATCAGGAGGTCCAGTACATAGGATTCAGGGTGTGACATCCAGTGGGCTAGGGTAGTACAAACAGAACCTTAATTCATGTGGTCCCTAAGGCCTGTGTTCATGGGGTTCTTTGCTCCTGAGGCCATGCTCTACCACAGGCTGATATCTGAGCTTGAGATGGTGAAAACACTGCATGAGAAGGAGACATCAGATGTGACGAAATTCCCCAAGGAGATTTGTGAGGCCTTGTACAAGTGCAAGGAGCTAAGTGAGAATACCCACTTCTACTGGTGAGTGCCTAATTTAGATGGGACCCCTAAAATTGGTAGGGACTGCTTCTGGTAGTCTGAAGTTTCTCCAGTCCTGCCTGACCCAGCTGTCAGGAGGAATCTGTCCTACTCACCTCCTGAAGCCAATTGGTCCCAAAGACACACAGAGAGGCTTATATTACTTACAAACTGTATGGCCAATGGCTTAAGTTTCTTGCTAGTTAGCTCTATCATCTTAAATTAACCCATTTCTGTTAATCTATATTTTGCCACATGGCTGCTGCATGGCCAGGTTGCTGGCATGTTTCTCCTTGAGTGGCAGCTGGCATCTCCTACACCTCTGACTTGCTTCTCTGACTCTCCTGGATTTCTCTGCCTGGATCCATCCTGCGTTGCCGTAGCCCAAAGCAGCTTATTTATTAACCAATGGGAGCAATACATATTCACAGCATACAGAAAGACATCCCACAGCAGCTTCTCCCCTTTTTCACCTTTGAACAAAGTTGAGCTGAGGTTCTTGTCTGACCTCTTAGCAAGCAGCCTGCCTCATAGCTCTTGGACTTGTGCCTCCAAAACTGAGTTTGCCTAAGAGTGAAGAGTCTGAGAGAGCCTCCCAACATTTTCCTGTCAATTTCTGGAGCTTCTAGAGAGAAAACATGGTTTGCACCATGAATGTTTTCTGTGGCTTTGGCAGGAGCTTACAGAGCTGGTTTCTTTGGGAAACATGGAATGTATTTACATTGGGTCTTCTGTCCCCGCTCAGAGCATGGTTTCCCTCTACCTGCTCATGTTTTCTCAATACTGTGAACAGGTAAGCACCAGGGTGTGTGGTGGAGAGGCAGGAGATCCAGTTTTCGGAGTTTCATGGATACCTTTTGCTGTCAGGGTATTCAGAAGTAGTTTCAATCTATCTGTAATTTGGCTATTCTCTGGCTTTATTCTGCACCTAAGTCATGCTGGCATGGCTAATGTGGGTTCATCCCAGGGATCTGTGGTTGGGGACATGACACCATGCAGGAATGATGGTATTAGGAGGCAGGAGTACAGATGCAGGTGGAGCTCATCATTTTTGGTGATATTTCAGCATCCTCTACAGTCAGCTCCTGAGGGAATGGACTCAGCTTGAGGAAAAAGTGAGCATGTTGAAAGAGGACAACAGAAAGCTGCAGGGGGAGCAGATTTTACTACAAGAGTCCTGTGAGGAGGCGAGGAGGCTGTGAGGAGGCCCATGGGAAGATCTATGATCTGTGGACAAAGCAGCAGCAGGTAGGTTGAAGCAGCAGGGCCAAACTGCCCACTTGTCTAACCATACACACACATATACACACACCCATATAACCATCTACTCACTTATCCACCTGACCCATCCCATCCAATTGTTCATTTCTGTGATCATTCACAAGTCTTTCTGGGGAGTTATCCTCCTGGAAGGCATTGCATGACTGGCAAGAAAACCCTACTGCTCTGCTAGAAGCTGCAGTCCATTGATGGAGATGAGTAAATCACATTTCACTCACCCATACATTAGTACGGAAGGAGAGGTACTATGATGGGAGCTACTTAGGGAGCAGCACAGAGATCTGAGTGAGTGAGGTCAAGGGTCTGGGTCTCATTTGCTTTGCACAGGTCATATGAGATCAGAGGCAGAAACAGTATGGAAGGAGGAATGTCCCCTACAAAAGCCAAATAACTGTGTCTTGTGGACATCTTTTTGGGTGTCATATGGCATTTTACCCGCTTGTTCCCAGACGGCCATGGTGTTCTCTTTACCTGGTCAACCTCTTGGTTCACACTGACAGAAACTTAACTAACAGTTTGTCAATACTGTTTCCTGTGACTAGCATTGGCCAGTTCTCCCATCCTGGATCTTACACTCAGAAGCTCAATGGATGACCAGGGATGTGGCAAGGGCTTAAGACAGGTGTGCGTCAGGGTGGCAGATTTGAGATTTTAAGAAAATTATTTCTCCAACTGCATCAACACAGCCTGCAGAAGCACAGCATGCTTCCCAGGCATGAAATACAGTTGAAATACAGAATCTAGGTGGACCATTGATTGATGTACAAAGCCATTGTATTGAAGTTTTTGCTCACCTTGGAGTTCTCAGACAAGTAAAAACAGATAATGGCCCAGCTTATATGGGCAGAAGGTTTGCACAATTTTGTGCTGCCTGGTTTATTCATCATGTTATTGGCATTTCTTATATTCCTCAAGGCCAAGCAATAGTTGAATGAGCACAGGCTACCATCAAGCAGTATTTAATTAAAATAAAAGAGGGGGAGATTATGGGGCCAGAATCAGGACCAAATGTAAAGTTATCATCTGTTTTATACATTTTAAATTTTTTAATGGTTAATAAACAGGGCCCTACTATTGGTGAAATTACTAAGACCACTCCATGTAGTTAAAATGGAGGTTTATTTTGTGAGGTAGCTTACAAGTGAAGGGATAGGTAACAGGGGACTCGCAAAGGTGTGGCGCAGTCCGGCGGTGTTCTCTGGAGAACTCTGCTCGGTCTGCCTCCAGCGACCAGGGTCCAGGAACAAAGAGAGCTGGCCCATCCAGATCTCGAGTCTTCAGGGTCCTCTCTAGGCCCCGCCTTGTAGGCATGACAGTTACCGAAGCCTCAATGGGTTTGGAACTTCCAGATCAAAGCTGGAATGGCTTCTCACTACACCTTATAGCCACAACCCGACATTTTCAGGGCCGACCTATGGAACAGGCGCAGGTTAGGTGAAAAGATCTGTCTAGAGGTATTTGGAAAGACGCTGCCCCGATTCTGGCTAGGGTAAGGGGAGCTGTGTGTGTTTATCCTCCAGATGCTGAGTTACCAGTGTGGGATAGCGAGAGGTGTGTTCATCCAGTGGAAATGTCTATGGCTGATGGAAATGCTGCTTCTGATTTATCAAGTGAAGTCGGAGATGGTGTATTTGAGTCTGGTAAAAAAATCCCAGAGTGCTGATGCCTGTGGGGATACATAGCCCTATTTTCCTTCTGTTTATACTAGTAATTTCGACTACAGGCTATCGGTCAGCCAAAGGGGCACAAACACTCGGGATTCCCCGGAGACGGGCAAGGGTGGACACCCGGCCAAAGCTACACATAGGGCGGTTAGGGCAGGCAGTCGAGGGGGACCATGCAGAAGGGAACCCCAACAGACCGCAAGAGCACGCACCTTCCTCAGATCGCTAGAGAAGAGACTTTTCTCACTGACGGCAGGATGGACCCGGCCTGACCGGCCTCCAGCCATGGCACCGCCGCGCGTGCAGGCAACAACCTGCACACTCGATTGCCAGAGAAGAACGGGAATGAATGCGGGTGGGCGTGGGGAGGTCTGCAGTATCCGTAAGGCTCTCTTCCGGGGCATGCCTTGAGCATTCACGGACAGGGAAACCAGGGCCGAGATAACAAAAATGTCCCCCCCCCAAGAAGACAGAACTCTTGAACACCTGCCGGGTGGCAATGGCAGGGAGTGGCAGGGAGTATTTACAGACTACCACCTCTAAAGAAGGTAGTAACAAAACAGGCCAGCCCCGTCAACGCTCAACACCAACACCAACACACAGAGAAGGCAGTTAAGTTAGCATGGTGGGTGGCTATAATGTAAAAATATCTTACATTTAAAGCAAATTTGCAATGAATCAAATTATAGTTCATAAAATTACTTCATGGCAACCATTTTGAATATCTGTACGGTGTAAATACAAAAACCCATTACTTATTAGAGTCAGTGTTTGGGGTCTGAATAAGATTGTACATGTCACAACAACTGTGTTTTATTTGTATAGATAGCAAAGGGAAACCTTATGAGGTTTGTAGTCGACCATTCATGTCCCAGACATGATGCTGTTTGATGTGATGTGACATAACCAAGGTCCCAGTGGCCAGAGGCCAAATTGGTAGACTACTCTTATACTTTCAAAGTTCAAAACAGCGAGCAACAGAAAATCATCTAGTACATTTAGTTCTAGTTCACTAGGGTTTGGGGATACAGGTTACTTTAGATATGAATCAGTAGTAATATTCTGTTGTACAAATTTGTGTAGTCATAGCATCTCTGTTTATCCCTAAAACTATTTTTGAATTCAGATTATATCTTGATAAAAAGAGATGAGGGGAGGCCTGGTGAGATGGCTCAGAGGTTAAGGGCACTGGCTGTTGTTCCAGAGGTCCTGAGTTCAATTCTCAGCAACCACACGGTGGCTCACAACCATCTGTAATGGGATCTGGTGCCCTATTCTGGCCTGCTTATCATAGTTATACACAAGTTTCAAAGGTTAAGAAACCCATTATTTCACATAGCTGCATATAACCAGTGAGGGGACCATCCTATGCAACGATTTGCATTATATTGTCACTTCAAGGCATACAGGACTTAAGTGAAATCATTTTCTGTGAACCATTGTTTGAGATGTCTCTTCTGCTTTTGGAAAACAGTGATGGAACAAGAGAAAAATTTGCCTTTGTGTTTCTAATTCTTCTCAGTTGCTTTCCTATAGAAAACTGAAAAAAAAATAAAAAAAAAATAAAAAAAAACTGATAAAAATACATCACAGGGTGTAGTGCTGCTGAGGTCATTGACTACCATGGGCCTGACATAAGCTTCAGCCTTGGCGGGTGTGGTTGCAGCCTGTTACATTTCCAACGTGTAGATCTCATAAATTATGAACAGTCAGTTACTCAGTAAATACACAGCATTTTACTTGATCTATGTTGACCACAAAAGAAAAAAAAACCTAGCTGCCATTAACTGACCTCAGCCCTAGACCCCTAGGCCTAGAACAGAGTTAAAGCTCGAAACCTCTATTGCATTAAACACTGAACAAATAAACACATATATAGAATTTCAACTTTCAGAACGTAAACATAACTTTTGTCTATGTAGATATCAAACATAGTCCTTGGCAGTTGTGACTGCATATCCGATGTAGATCAGTGAGACCGCTGCCATTAGCTACATGGATTTTATGAATAAAGTGAGAGTGAGCCACTCTTCTGGGGTACCAGGCCCTGATAATAGAGAAGAATCCTGTGGAAAAATAATTTTCTCTGGCAATGGTTCTACTGTAAACATGACAGATGAATCATTCTTCTTGATGAACTCAGAAATGTTTTAAAATTTTGGTTTAGATCCAGTAAATAACTGCCCATTTGGTGTCCAATGTTCTTCTTTGTGAGTGGGTAAGCAACAAAAAAGGGGCACAATGAATTTCTTGGTTTTCCTGATGATGATTTTCTGCATTGTAGAACTAGTACAGAAGCATTTCATACGGTGGAAAATTTATCCAAGAAAGGTTAAAAGAATCTGGAAAGATGGCTCAGTGCCTAAGAGCACAGACTTCTCTTCCAGATGACCCAAATTTGGTTCCCAGCACCCACATCAATTGGCTCACAACTGCTTGGAACTCTAATTCCAGGAAATCTGATGCCTCTTCTGGCTGCTATGGACAACTGTACTCAGATGCACATTCTCATACACATGCACAGATGTATGCATATAATTAAGAGATGAAAAAAATCTTTGTCTTTTATTTTAAAAAGGATACTAGCACCATGTTTTAGTTTTTTTCTGGTGAGACTCTGATTTAGAATAGTCTTTCATTGCAGACTCTGTCGACTTAAATACATAAAAATATTTTATTTTATTATTATCCTATAGAAAGACTGTTTTCGAATGACCAACAGAGAGGGAGTATATTTGGAAGGGAGGAGAGGTAGGAAGGAGTTTAGAATAGTAGAAGGGAAAAATATAAACAGAATGTATTATGTGAGGAAAACCTATTTTGAAAGGGAAAAAGAGAAATTAGAAAAATTTATTAGAATGACATAAAATACTAAGAATACTAAAAAACAGGGAACACTAGAATCCTAACACAATAACATGGGTCACAGTGTTATTTCTCTGTTTAAAAAGAAACAGAACTGTTATTTGAGAAACAACTGTTCCATTTTTTAAAAAGCAAGTGATTCTAAAAGTATTTAGGTCCCTTTCCATTAGTAAAATAGCATGCCCCTTATTGGTGGCAGCATGAAAATGAGCAACTTCTAGCGTGTACAATATATGCTAGGCAACCTGACTGCAAGATGTTCTATTTCCCTGTCTTATCAGGGGTCTGTATTTTTCCATTAACTAGAGGCTCCGTTCTTGTCCCTGACATCTCCCCTTCTTAGTAATAAATCTAAGGGCCAACATAAACCAGGTTCAAATGGTCTAAAAGGAGGGCTCTGAAAGAGGCTTTGCATGGAGGATTACAGAGGCCCTGGCCCTCTAAAGGTTGTGAAAAGAGGTCCGAGAGGGAATGTCTCTCCAGACTCAAGCACCACGGGCGTCCCCATACTGTGGGATTCAATGGACCATGCAGTTTTTTTTAGGGAGTGGAAATGGGTAAGCACAAGGCTGCTACTGTCTGTAACTCCAGCTCTAGGGGATCCAATATGGATATACGTGCAGGCAAAACTATGAATGCACATGATATAAATTAAAATAAATTAAAAAAAAACAATCCTGTACAATAAAACAATGTCTGGAGGCATCATGATCCCTGACTTCAAGCTCTACTCAAGAGCTACATTAATAAAAACAGCTTCGTACTGGCATAAAAACCTATTTGCGGACCAATGGAATCAAATTGAAAACACTAACATTAATCTACACACCCATGAACATATAATTTTTGACAAAGAAGCCAAAAGTGTACAATGGAAAAAAGAAAGCATCTTCAACAAATGGTGCTGGCATAACTGGATGTCAACATGTCCAAGGCTGTAAATAGATCCATATCTGTCACCGTGCACAAAACTTAAGTCCAAGTGGATCAAAGACCTCAACATAAATCCAATTACTCTGAACCTGATAAAAGAGATAGTACGAAGTAGTCTTGAATGCATTGGCACAGGAGATCACTTCCTAAATATAACACTGAGAGAAACAATTAATCAATGGGACCTCTTGAAACTGAGAAGCTTGTGTAGAGCAAAGGAAACGGTCAATAAGACAAAGCAACAGCCTACAGAATGGGAAAAGATCTTCACCAATCCCACATCTGATAGAGGGCTGATATCTAGAATATATAAAGAACTCAAGAAATTAGACATCAAAATGCCCAACAGTTCAATTAAGAATTGGGCTATAGAGCTAAACAGAGAACTCTCAACAGAGGAAGCTCAAATGGCTGAAAGACATTTAAGGAATTGCTCAACATCCCTAATCATCAGGGAAATGAAAATCAAAACTACTCTGAGATACCACCTTATACCTGTCAGAATGGCTAAGATCAAAAACACTGAAGACAGCTTATGCTAGAGAGGATGTGGAGCAAGGGGAACTCTCCTCCACTGTTGGTGGGAATGCAAGCTTGTACAGCCACTTTGGAAATCAATATGGAGCTTTCTTAGAAAATTGGGAATCGCCGGGCGGTGGTGGCGCACGCCTTTAATCCCAGCACTCGGGAGGCAGAGCCAGGTGGATCTCTGTGAGTTCGAGGCCAGCCTGGTCTCCAAAGTGAGTTCCAGGAAAGGCGCAAAGCTACACAGAGAAACCCTGTCTCGAAAAACCAAAAAAAAAAAAAAAAAAAGAAAGAAAATTGGGAATCAATCTCACCCAATGACCTAGCTATACCACTCTTGGGCATATACCCAAGGAATGCTCAATCATACCACAAGGGCACTTGCTCAGCTATGTTCATAGCAGCATGTTTGTAATAGCCAGAACATGGAAACAACCTAGATACCCTTCAACAGAGGAATGGTCTCAGCAGAGAAAAAAAATAATCATCCCAAATATAGATGCCTAAATAAAATGTGGTACACATACACAATGGAGTACTACTCAGCAGAGAAAAACAATGACATCATATGGTTTGCAGGCAAATGAATGGATCTAGAAAAAAATCATCCTGAGTGAAGTAACCCAGACTCAGAAAGACAAACACGGTATGTGCTCACTCATAGGTGGATACTAGATGTAAAACAAAGGATGAATACACTGCTACTCACAACTCAAGGGAGGCTACCTAGTAAAGAGTACCCTAAGAAAGACACAGGGATTGCCCAACAACAGAGAAATGGATGAGATCTACATGAGCAAACTGGACGTGAGGGGGGTAATGAAGGGCAAGGGTTGGGGGAAAGAGAGCTTAGGGGAGCGAGAGATCCCAGCTGGACCAAGAACAGAGAGGGAGAACAAGGAAAGAGAGACCATAATAAATGAACACGCCATCGGAATAGGAAGAACCAGAGTGCCAGAGACATCCCCAGAAATCCACAAAGATACCTCCACAATAGACTACTGGCAATGGTCGAGAGAAAGTCCTAATGACCTACTCTGGTGATCGGATGGCCAAACACCCTGTCAGGATAGAACTGTCATCCAATGACTGATGGAAGCGGATGTAGAGATCCACGACCAGGCCCCAGGTGGAGCTCCGGGAGTCCAATCGGCAAGAGAGAGGAGGGATTGTTCATACATGAGCGAGAGATGTTGAGACCATGATCGGAAAAAGCACAAGGACAAATAGCGAAACTAGTGGAAACATATCAACTATGAACCAATGACTGAGGAGCCCCCATGGAACTGGACTGGGCCCTCTGGATAAGTGAGACAGTCCATTAGCTTGAACTGTTTGGGAGGCCCCTAGGCAATGAGACCGCGACCTGTCTTTAGTGCACGAGCTGACTTTTGGGAGCCTGGGGCCTATGCAGGGACACTTTGCTCAGCCTGGGTAAAGGGAGGAGGGGACTGGACCTGCCTCAACTGAATCTACCAGGCTGGGCTGAATCCCCAGGGAGTCCTTGCCCTGGAGGAGATAAGAATGGGCGTTGGATTGCCGGGAGGGTGGGCGCGGGAGGAGGGAGAACAGGAGAATCCATGGCTGATATGTAAAATTAAATTACTTATTAACATTGAAAAAAAATTAGGTTGCTCATCTAAGAAAATGCTTTAAGGACTACAAGATACTTTTCAGCTGATCATACAATTTATAATAGAAAGTGATTTCACGTACAAAACTCTGGACTCACAAAGAGAGATAATAGATAATAGAGTACTTTCTCCAAAGTTGCCAAATACAAATGGACTGGACATTGTGAATGTCTTACCTTATAGTTTTCATAATTTTATTTATTGTATACAGTTTATTGATGTTAGAGAAGAGAGCCCTTTATTGGATTACAAGCTAGAGAAGTTGGGACAATATTTCCGTACACTGTGTGAAGATGTGTCATTATTCTTCCTCACCTGCCTAACGTACCTTCTAATTGGTTTATTAAGAGCTGAACAGCCAAGAGGATAGGCAGGTGAGGATAGGCAGGACTGTAGAGAGCTGCGTGCAGCCGCACCTCCAAGATGACGCTGGCCTCCGCCTTCTACCCTCCCTACGGTGAGTGCTCTCTGAAAAACAACTCTGAAAAATAACTCCTTATTTGGCTAAGGCTAGGATCTGGCTTGCTTCCGCAGACCTGGACCTATCCGCAGTACCCACATGGCAGACTGGGGTAGGCTACCCAGAGGCTATTTAAGTTGTGGGTTGGCTCTCCCCGGGGTCAGAAGATTGTTTCAAGGTACCTGAGTACACTGCTTGGAGAAGAGCCTGGTGTTGCGTCTTCCTTGCTGGTCAACGGGGACGCGACACAGGACGACTTCGGGACAGAGACAGGAACTATGAAAAAGAGTATCAGGTGGGAGATTTGCCAGTCATACATGGAGGAAGTCAGATATATGTTACCAAGGACAGGTAATGAGGCATGTGACAGAATGTAGATTAATAAAAAAAAAAAAAAAAAAAAAAGGTTTAAGTTTTAAGAGCTGGTTTGGAACAAGCCCAAGCTAAGGCCAGGGCTTTCGTAATTAATGAAAAGTCTCAATGTCATTCTTCAGAAGCTAGAGGTCAAAAGAAAGACTCGTCACACTCCATATTCCTGCCTTCAATTACAGAAGACTTAGGCTTTACTAGAGGCGTGGCCACAGCTAAGGACTCAAGATAAGACACTGCCCACCTCCTTCTACCACTCTTCAACATCCCTCAACAGAAACCCCTTTCCCAGGGCTCCATACTCTTGCCTGGAGACCCATAAGTTTTACAGGAGACCAGGTTAGTTCTAGGGACCCCAGAAAAACACAGTCCACAGACACACGCTAAAATCTCACCAACAACCACAGACTACATGCCTTCCCCTAGGCTCCTTATCCTGGTCTACAGGTTTGAAAAAAGACTTTGGCCTTACAGGAGGCCATGCTGAATCTAGGGACCCAGGCCCCAAAATCCCCAGCAGAGACACCATACTGGACTGAATACTTTCAGTTACTAGAACACTTATGCCAGAATACCAAAGAGGAAACGGAAACCATGGGAAAAAACACCCATCCAACAAAGACAAATGGAAGAATAAACACCTAGCCCAATAATCATCCCAAATATAGATGCCTAAATACCAGTGTAGGAATACAATCAATAAAAGGGACAATACGTCACCACCAGAACTCAGCTATCCTACAACAGCAAGAAGACCTGAACATAGTAACACAGCTGAAACAAGAAAATAATTTTAAAAATAACTTTATGAAAATGATCGGTAGAGAGGAAGCAGCACAGAGATAGCACTGAGCCAGTGCAAAGCTGAGTGTGAGCGCAGAGCTGGGGACCTCACTGTGAGAATTCCCTAATGTTAGAATTCCTAGTCACTCCCCCAGCTACTTTACTTAGCATGTGACTGCAAGATGCTTAGTCATCCCAGGGCCTTACGTCCTACCTAATATGTATGCTGTGTGATCATGTAATCTATGCGCGTGAGTGCTGTGGGATGATCTGTATGTCAAATGTGTTGCTGATTGGTCAATAAATAAATCACTGATTGACCCGTGGCCAGGCAGGAAGTGTAGGCGGGACAAGGAGGAGAATAGAGCTGGGAAGTGGAAGGCTGAGTCAGAGAGACACTGCCAGCCGCCATGATGAGAAACAGCATGTAAAGATGCCGGTAAGCCACGAGCCATGTGGCAAGGTATAGATTAATAGAAATGGATTAATTTAAGCTCTAAGAACAGTTAGCAGAAGCCTGCCACAGCCATACAGTTTGTAACCAATATAAGTCTCTGTGTTTACTTGGTAGGGTCTGAGCAGCTGTGGGACTAGCAAGTAAGAGAGATTTGCCCTGACTGTGGGCCAGGCAGGAAAACTCCAGCTACACGTGTGTGGTGTAAGCTCATATGCGCATGTGCAGGGAGGGGGTGCTGTGGGATGTTCTGTATGTTAAATGTGTTGCTCTGACTGGTTAATAAATAAAACAATGATTGGCCAGTAGCCAGGCGGGAAGTATAGGCAGGACAAGCAGAGAAGAGAATTCTGGGAAGTGGAAGGCTGAGGCAGAGAGACCCTGCCAGCCGATGCCATGAGAAGATGTTAAGATACCGTAAGCCACAAGCCTCGTGGCAACTTATAGACTAATAGAAATGGGTTAATTTAAGATATAAGAAAAGATAGTAAGAAGCCTGCCACGGCCATACACTTTGCAAGTAATGTAAGTCTCTGTGTGTTTACTTGGTTGAGTCTGAGCTGCTGCGGGACTGGCAGGTGAGAGCGATTTGTGCTGACCAAGGGCCAGGCAGGACCAGGAAAACTCTATCGACAGCGGGGGACCTAAAAAACCAGGTTCCACTTATTCCTCCCCTCTCTTCCTGCACGGTCATTCCATAGGCCTATGCACATCCTTTTCCCTAATAAACTCTTATAGTGGGTTTTGTTGTACCTTGCAGCTTTTCTCGCATGGTAAACAGCCCTGCTTAATGAATAGCATTACGCAGCTTAGTAAATAACATCAGTGCCAAAACGAATCAGTCCCTCCTAGTGCTCTGCGTCCAGGACCCTGGACTGAGGTTTACTCTATCTAAAACTGCCCAGTTTTTCATTTGCCTAGCAGCCTGACCGCTTTACACAACACCAGCTGCTTCAACTGGTGAGTTTTCCCTTTCCAGCCAGCGTTAAACAGTCCCCTGGACCCGTTGGAACAACTGTAGATTACCCAGCATCCCTCTGGTATCCCCGGGATTGGGGGAACCCCTGTCCATGCCCTTCATCAGCTACAGTCGGCCTCCCATTGCAGGCTTCAATCTCTAGGCATTTCCCACGACTGCGGTCTGAGGTATCATTCTCTTGCTTGATGAAGCATTGAATGACTTGTGCCTGCCACTGTCAGACCCCCGTCCTTGGGCTACAAATGCCCTGGCCCTCATTCTCTGGCTTGACGAAGCATTGACTGACTTGTGCCAATCGCTGATCCTCACTTGAACTCGGGGATGCCGGAGACTGTAGTCTTGTATCACTTTTTTTTTCTCTCTCTGCCGCTGTCATGGTAAATAAGACTTCCTCCTATTAGTCGCACTCCTCCTCTGAGGAATGCCTAAATATCCCTTAGATAACAATAAAAAATGGCCACCCAATGGCTCCTTGGACCCCAATATTTTAGAGGAATTATCTAATTCCTGCCAGCGAATCGGCAAATGGAAAAAGTTGTCTTATATTCAAGCTTTTTTTTTTTTAACCTAAGCTCTAAACCCTGCCTTCTAGATTCCTTCTTTTCAGCTCACATGCTCCTTGCCACGGAACCTGAACCTAAGGAATCTTTACTGCTCTGGACTCTGCAAATGAACCTCTCTGCCTCAGGAGTCCGTTGCCCTGGCTCCTCCCCAGCTCCCTCCTCCTCTCCAATATTGGGCCGCTCCAATTGCCCAGCTCTGGCGACAGCCTTTACACCACCTATTACTCGTTCTCAAGCTATTACGGGATCTGACGTTGGCCATGCAGACCCAGCATCCATTCTCCCTTGTGAGAGGTGACCAGTGTGGATGGACTGGTTAAGGTTCTTACAGCCGCACCTTTCATGATATATATGATCTTGCTAATAACCTACTTCCTGAGGAGTGCAGACACATTTGGGAGCAGGCTGGTACACATGTGGATGAGGTTCATCAAACCAATGCCGCCCATCCACATGGAGCCGAGGCAGTTCCCAATCAGGACTCACATTGGGATTACAATAATCGGGTGGCTCTCTCACTAGGTATTTACATGGTTTACAACCTGTCTCCTGTCAGATCTTCCTAGGGCTGCCCTCAAACCAGTAAACTATGGAAAGCTAAAAAACATAATTCAAGATGAAAGAAAATCCATCTCATTCTTTTAGAACAGCTTACAAAGGCTCTTTTACAATACAAAGGCCTAGCTCCTGAGAGCCCAGATGGCAGACAGCTCCTTATGACCCACTTTGTCTTATCCCCCGACATCAGGGCTAAGCTTAAGCATCTATCGAGAGAGCCTCTGACCCCACAGGCAGAAGTCTTAGTAGTGGCATTGACAGTGTACCATGGGAGAGATCAGAATGCCCGTAAACAGAACTGTCAAATGCCTCTAGGTCCCTGTTTTAAGTATGGTAGAGAAGGCCACTGGGCTTGTGCCTGCCCTGCCCTACACGAGCCACCATCTGGGCCTTGCCCAAAGTGTCAGCAAGAGGGACACTGGTCAGCTGACTGCCCCCATGCAGCTCGTGGCATGGGGACATCAAACAAAGACCACCCTCTAGTCAATATCCTAGAGTTGGTGATAGATAACTGAAGGTGCCATCTCTCACAGGGAACCTAGGGTAGTCATTACAGTATCAGGGTGATCCATTTCCTTCCTTTTGAACACTGGAGTGACTTACTGAGTCCAGAGGGAGTTTTGGGGTCCCACCTGTCCTCGTCTCCCTACTGTCAGGGTAGGGTGACAGCCCTTACCTACCTCACCAGACCCGACCACTTAAATGTATTTTCAGGGGTATCCTTCTCACCCACACATGTTTAGTTGTGCCATCCTGTCCTGTGCCCCTAATGCAGAGATTTTCTGGCTAATGTAGGAGCTTTTCTTTAGTTTGCTCCCCCCATTTGCCTTACTCCACACTTGTCAGCAGCCCCTGTCCTCCTCCTCCTAGCCACCCAGCCTACTAGCTCTAACATTTCATTTTCCTTGCCAGCCTCTCAGGTAAACCCAAAGTCTAAGACAGCCAGAACCTTCCTAGGCACCATATGCCTATTAAAATCCTGTAGCAGGACACTACCAGGTCCATTACACAAGCTCAGTACCCTCTCTCACTCCAGAGCCTTAGGGGACTTAAGCTTATCATTTCTAACCAAAGAAAAAAGCACGTTGCAGGTCTGTCTGTCTCTCTCTCTCCAACACTAACCAATAAAATTCTGTTACCAGAGTACTAAACATTACATACAATACTATGGCTACCAGCTCAAGACTTTAAATTCCCCGTGGCTGCTTTTTAATATGTTTAAATATTCTTCCGAGCACCAGAACCAGCTTCAATCCACCTGGACAGGTGAGATCTATTTCAGATAAGTCAGATCTATTTCAGATAAGTATAATTCAAACTTTCCTGATCCCAGGAACCCCTCCCTCATTCTGGGACCCCTTGGAGACCCCCCCAGCTAAAATTTTTTCTAAACTCCTTCTTCTGCCTCAACAGTACCTTGTCAGACCCATACAGTCACAGAGCCCAAAGCAGCAAAAGGCAATGGACAATTCCCAAAGCAGTGGAGGACAATCCACTACCTCAGGATATCTTGCTACCCCAAAAGCACCATTCCCTACATCCAAAAGCTAACCAATGCCCACTCATGTCAGCTGGAAACAGTTTCTGGAGACACAGTGCCCCCATTCCCATTCATCCGCCATTTTTTATAAGAAAACAGAGTCTAGAATGGTAGAAATCCTTGCCACTCCCCCAATTACATGACCACATGTACAGTGGGGCAAGATGCTTAGTCATCCCAGTGCCTTACATTCTACGTAATCCGTGCACGGTGTGATCATGTCATTTACACGCAGCGTGATCACATAATCTATGTGCATGTGTGGTGTTGCTACGTAAGCCAATGTGCACATGTGCGGGAGGGAGGGAACCTGTAACAGCAGGTATTACTTATTCCTCTCCTCACTTCCTGCACGGTCATTCCATAGTCCTATGCACATCTTTCCTATTCCCTTTCCTTAATAAACTCTTTTCATGGTGTCCCAAATTTCCTGGATGTTTTGTATTATGACTATTTTGGTTTTAGCGTTTTGACTGATGACTCTATTTTTTCTATTGTGTCTTCAGCGTCAGAGATTCTCTGTTCCATCTCTTACAGTCTGTTGGTTATGCTTGCATCTGTAGCTCCTGTTCGTTTAGTCAGATTTTCTATTTACACCATTGCCTCAGTTTGTGTCTTCTTTATTGTCTCAATTTCAATTTTTTGTTGTTGTTCTTTCTTGAGACAGGGTTTCTCTGTGTAGCTTTGGAGCCTGTCCTGGAACTCACTCTGTAGCCAAGGCTGGCCTCGAACTCACAGAGATCCACCTGCCTCTGCCTCCCGAGTGCTGGAATTAAAGGCATGCGCCACCACTGCCTGGCTCAATTTAAATTTTTAAATCTTGAATTCTTTCCTTTATCTGTTTAATTGCTTTTTCTTGGCTTTCTTTGATTTCTTTTTTCCCCCAGAGCTAAGGACCGAACCCAGAGCCTTGCACTTGCTAGGCAAGCGCTCTACCACTAAGCTAAATCCCCAACCCTTTTCTTCAATTTCTTTAAGGCAATGTTTTATTTCCTCTTTAAGGGAGTTTTTCATTTCCTCTTAAGGGAATTTTTCATTTCCTCTTTAAGGGCCTCTATCAGCCTCTTAAAGTCATTTTTAGGATTCACTTCTTCTGCTTCTTCTGTATTGGTATGTTCAGGTCTTGCAGGTGTAGAACCACTAGGTTCTGATGTTGTCATATAGGTCTTTATGTTGTTGCCTGTATTTTTGCACTGGCATCTACGAATCTCTTCCTCTGCTCCATGTAGGCGGTGACTATGTCTGAGGATGCTTCTTGTTCCAATTGATAGTCTTGGTCCACCGTGAGTTCTTGGTCTAAATCGGAGCTGATGGGTAGATTCTCTCACAGCAGCTTAGTCCAATTGGTCAGTGGATTCTGTCTCAGTGAGCAGCTGTTCCCAATCAGTACAGGGCGGGCTTATGGCTCCAGTGGTGGTTGTCCCATGGGATGGATTTCTTGACAAGGGGGCAGGGAAAGAGGTTGCTGTCTAGTCCCTGGGGTTCCAATGGCTATTCCTACTCAGTGAAGGGTGGGCTTATGACTCCGGTGGTCGTTGGGGTCACAGGGACTGGTTTTCTTGGCGAGAGAGCAGGGAAAGGTAGCCACCTGGTTCCTGAGGGCTCCAATGGCTGGGGGGAGGGGCACATAATGTGCCCCCGGGGGCCTAGAGTCTAGAGAACTGGTCTGCCAGTCCAGAGATGGGGCCTTATCTGTTCCCAGTTGGTGTAGAGTGGGCTTATTGTGGGGATCTGCCCCATCAGGACCCTAGGTCACCTGTGAAGAGGTGGCCTGGAACCGAGGAAAGGTAAGTGCACACAGCTCACCTGTTCCCCATCCTCCCTCTTACCCGGAGACAATCAGACACAGCGGAGAGTCAAGTCAAGCAAGAACTTGTTTCTTGATAGGCAGTAAGCCTCTTTTATACCAGAAAACCTCCAAACCCTAGAAGGGGGTGAAGGAACCAATCAATCATTTTAAAGGTCACCCTATTTACAAGTTGTTTATGTCCTGACACCATCTCCTGTTTTTAGTATCTTATCTTAGTATAAATAACTTGAGCTAACTTTCTTTCTCACCATTTGTCTCTAATCTCCATACAAACAACCCAAACTAACTTCCTCTTAGCCATCCTTTGTATCTATTCTCTGCACAAACAGCTTAAACTAACTTCCTCTGGTACCATTTGTATCCACTCTCTGTGTAAACACCTTAAAGCTTAAGCTCCATTAATCTGAATTTCTCTCAGCACCCTCTTTGCAGCCCATGTATGCCCCCACAGCTTATGACTCTGCTGACCTGGTTCGGTGGCTGGACGGCTCCTTCTCTTGCATTCTCGGGGTGCTCTGCTCGCTTGCCAACTCCTCAGCTGATGTTGTTTCCTCAGACTGCAGACTTCTGAGACCTCTCTCGAATGGATCTCAGCTGAACAGTCAGTAGGGCAATCTCACCAACACCTCCAAGTTGTTGGGCTTCACACTATCGGCAGCTGGACACTGGGCAGGCCTTGGGCAGAATCTGGCCTGGCATTTTTCCAAGTTGTGAAGTTTAATAAACTCTTATAGTGGGTTTTGTTGTACCCAGTGGCTTTTCTCACAAGGTAAACAGTGCCGCTTAATGAACATTAAACCGCTTAATAAATAACACTGGCTATACCCTTCCAGTTTGCACTTCGTCATTCACCACTGAGGCTGGAACTGCAGCCTCCAACCTGCCTCCGTGCCCAGATCCTGAAAACCCTTCCCTTCTCTTTTTTGGATACATGTCCGACCTTTCCCTGACATGTTGAAACATGCCACAGTCAATCAAATTTAAACTAATTTAACCATTGCTTGCTTAGGCAACCGTGTTCGCTGGAGATGACCAAACCATATCTAGAATTCCCTTGCTGGGATTAACAGAAGTCTACGAGCTTCTCTCAGGTTTGTTGCCTTTTTGCTCTATGCCTGACCCCCATTTGCAGGAATTTTCTCTTGAGAAATCAACACTGTTGATTTTGCATACGTAAGTGGTCTTTTGTGGGGTGATTCAAGGACCCTAACACCTGGTATGATATTGCCAACATAGGGCATTGGCTTTTCACGATATGTATAGTGGATAGCTATTCCAGCTCTGACCTTGAAGCACTGCCCCCTAGCGAGGCAGACGGTAACTGCCATGCAAGCCTATGACCTGCTCATAGGGCATGGCCGAGACGGGAGCCCATAAGACCTGAGATGCATACATGCTGGCTCTCCTGACTCCTCGTGATACTGGATGCTGGATTGCAGACCGAGTCAGAGTTCTCCAGAGAACCACGTTGGACTGTACCTCACCTCTCCTGTATCCTGTAACTGACTCCTTTACTAGTTACAAGTCACCCCTTTAAATAAACCTCTTTTAACTACCACGTAAACTAAGTGGAGCTGCTGTGTTCCCAGCTTTAGAAAAGGGCACTTCCAGTTGCAATATGCACAGCCACCCACCGGCTCTCCTACATGGGTCAGCCGTTCCATCCTGGCCCTTCATTCAGGTGGCTCAGTGACCCCTCCCCATGCCAACTCCTATCCAAATGGGATTCTCCTGCCTGTTTTCCTCTCCCAACCATTTCTCAGGCCATTTCTTCACCCTACCTGAATAGCCCACACAATACCTGGGCAGGGCAGAGCAAGTCAGACAGCCGCCTCCCAGGCGATTCCGGCATGGACAGCACAAGCAATGAACCAAGCAGAACTAGACCAGCTGCCTAGCCATTTCCTCAGAATCACTGCTGCCACTCCTACTTAGGGCACAGGCTATTACTGCTAAGGCCATGGCCTCAAGCACCAGAAGGGCACCCCCAGCCTTACACCGCCGTGCTGAGCAGCCACAGCTAGCAGCTACCAGTGACGAGCCAGGCAGTACTGTCTCATGCTGCTATTAGTCACATTGATTTTTTCATGCTGGTTTCTCTGTTAGCTCTTCAGACTGCCCCCCCCCATGCACAGGACAGTAGCCACAGTGGACCCTACTGTGTCAGCAATGAACATCACTGCAGCTAATCACCCCTGAAAATCTATGCCTACACTTGTGGTGTATATGGGCCGCAAAGATGGTGCCGAGAGGAAGTTGTTTACACTGAGATTAGACTGGATACAAAAATCAAAGGAATGAGTATGATGTCAGTACATAAACAGCACGTAGACAAAAGAAGGAGTAGAGGGTGACCTTTAAAACAATTGGTTCATTCCGTCCAACACCACCCCACGGTTCTGTGGTTTTCTATCTTAAAAGAGGCTTATTGCCTATCAATAAACAAGTCCCTGCTTGGCATGACTCCCCACTGCATCTGACTGTCTCCAGGAAAGAGGAAGGCTGGGAATTGGGTGAGTGGTGCACTTATCTTTCCTCTATTCTGGACCACTTCCTCAGAGGTGATCTAAGTTCCCGATGTGGTGAGACCCCACAGCTGGCAGTCAATTTGGGGCTTGAAAGTACGTTCAGCCAAGGTCAAGCAGTCTTCCATGGTGGGTGAAACCCTCTGTATGGGTAATGCAATATTTCCAAAACATCCCCAAGAGCCAGGGGAGGCCAAAGAAGGTAAAGAGGACCAGGAGAGTAAAGAGACCAAGTGTAAAGTCATCACACGACCCCCCGCCTTACATCCCTAAAATAGGGAAATGCTCCTCACCATATACTACCCTTAGAAGGGACCTACATAACTAGGGTACCTATGACTGACCACTAGTCAGGGATCAGAGAGTCAACAAACCGACTTACGCAGAGGCCTGTATTAACCAGACAGGGCCCCAAGGGAGGCAAAAGACAGGGCCCTGAGAACAGACAACCCAGGCATTTCCCATTAATCTGGCCTCCAGCCCTGATAGGCCACAAGAATTGTACCCATGGATGGTCAAAAACCTTAAGGAACTCCACAAGGCAGTGGCAGAGGATGGTCCAAATGCCCCTTGGTCCCAGACCCTACTGCAGGATATTACATATAATCCCTGTGTCCCCAAGGATTGCTGGACCTGGCTAAGGCTGACCGTTCAAGCACTCAATGTATCGAATGGTGTGCCCACTATAAGGAGGAATGTAGAGTCCGAACAGAGGCCAATCAAGCTGCTCAGCCTGCAATCCTAATTACTTATGGCATGTTGGCGAGAACTGCTGATGAGTACTCTACTGAGGTCCACCACACCGAGACCAGGTGTGACATGCAGGGCTAGCAGCCTGGGGTAAGCTAGATGAGAGATCTACAGAATCCCCCATAGCTAGAGTCAGGCAGAAGCCCAATGAGACCCTACCAGAATTTATAGACTCGGTTAACAGAGCACTAATCGTAACTACCGACTGGACCACTCTGGGACCAATTTATAGATTCTGGTCTGGGATGGAATGAATACAGAACACTGTGCTGCCTATGCAGGGCTGAAAGAGGTTCCCATGGGCCGATGGGTGGTCACCACCCAGGATCTGGGCACCCAACATCACCAGACCCAGATGCTAGTCTTAACGTTGTAATCCCAGACAGCTGCCCTAACTCAGGCTTTCTCACAGGCCCTGGCAACCCAGAGTCTGGGGACTGCAAAGTCTGCTACCCGGGGGCCTGCTGTAGATGTGGACAGGAGGGACATTTTAAGCAATAGTGTCCTCTGCAACAGCCTCCTACAGGTCAACAAAAGGCTTTAGGTTAGGCCAAGGACAATAAAGCCCCCTAGCAACCCTTGTCCTAGGTGCAGGAAGGAATATCATTGGAAAAAAAACTGCAGGTCAAAATTTAATATAGATGGGAAACCTTTAAACTAGGTAAGGGGCACCCTCCAGCCCTGTTAGCCAAAGGAGGAACTCTGGGGGGGAGGGCAGGCATGGCCCCCCAGAATGGCCCACGCCAACTGACAGTTCCTTTGGTCCGGGGACACTGCCCCAAGATGAGTATTGTCATAGGTGGGAGAAGGTTCCACTTCCTGGTGTGATATAGGGCCAGAAAGGACCATGCCCCACTGGGAGGAGGTACCCCCTGACTGGGACATCACTCTGGGACCTTGAGTATTGGGAGTAGCGGTTAATGCTCAATCTCTTAAAACAGTCACTCTCCTCAAATGGACCAGCTCAGATGGGGAACAGGACAATACATGGGCCCTGGTGTCTGGGAATCTTACTGACAACTTATTGGAGTAGGATATGTTGTCCCAAATGGATGCAGTACTCACCACCAACCACCAAACTTTCTATGATATTATGGAGGAAGAAGAGGCCCAAGGAAGGGGATGGGGAGCAGAGGAGATAAAAGGAGAGGACTTCTTCACCCACTATAGAAATGACCCCAAAATTCCAACTGGGTTTACCACAATTCCTAGAGGCCACTGCCCCCCAGATACCCCCTATCAGGTCGAGGCTGGGTGACCAAGTATGGGTGGAGCAGTAGCCACTTGCTAAACCTAAATTAGAGGCTCTGGTTAAAGAACAATTGGACCTTAGATGTGTGCGCCCTTCCATGAGTTCCTGGAATAACCTGTCTTGGTTATTAAAAAAGTGTCAGGAGCATGGCACATGTTACAGGATCTACGGAAAGTAAATGAGAGGATGGAGCTGGTAGGCCCCCTTGAGGGGTCTGCCCTGGGTGCCAGCAATACCCTCAGAATATACCCTGGTTGCAATTGATGTTTCTGTTTCTTGTCTATCTCCCTCCATCCAGATGATTGTACCAAGTTTGCCTTCTCTATCCCCTCCCTCAATTTCTCCCAACCTGATCAGACATTTAAATGGACTGTATTACCCCAGGAAATGGCTAATAGCCCGACCTCCTGCCAACAATACCTGGCCACCCTGTTAGTACCCCTACTTAGAGATGCATAAGATAGATGCGTACCTGTTTATATGAATAATATTATTTTGGGACATAAGGACCCCTCTTGTCTGCAGGACTTGTTGGGGCAGGTACTGCACAGCTTCAGAGAGGAGGGTGCCCCCCTTTAAGATTCTTGGCACCAAACTTACCCTGACCTGAACCTGCCCACTTAAGCCTAAGCTACACATTCCTGTGTCTTTGACCCTGACTCAGTTGCAGAGTATCCTGGGAGAGATCCATTCGATACTACCTTGGGTTCCCGTCTCCAAGAATACTCTTGTACCCTTATTCTCCCTTTAAAAAAATAAAAAACCGGGCTGGAAAGATGGCTCAGTGGTTAAGAACACTCACTGGCTGTTCTTCCAGAGGTCCTGAGTTCAATTCCCAGCAACCACATGGTGGCTCACAACCATCTATAATAAGATTTGATGCCTTCTTCCAGCACACAGGCATACATGCAGAGCATTCATACATAAAATATAAATAAATAAAATTATAAAAAAAAAATAAAAAAATAAAAAAAAAATAAAAAACCTCAGGATGTTATTGCTCTTACCTGAGAACATTGGGCCATCCTTTTACAATTTCAAGATGCTCTTAATAGATTTCTGCTGACTTTCCCAGTTCCCTCTGGCTGTTCACAAGCGCTACATTAACCTCTGCAGTGCTAGTGCAAAAAGGAGAGCCAATAGAATGGGTCAATAGCCCCCTTGGAGGCGCCCCAAACGTACACTCCAGTTTTTCCTAAAGGTACCCCCTTTACAAACACAGGGAGCTAACCCCAGAGGCCTAGAGCCAAATATCCTCTGACAAACCGATGTTACTCATTTCACACCCTTTAACAATAAAACAAAAGGGAGAATTAGCCTCCATATTCAGTTACTCTACACCCTTCAGCCATCACACTCCAGCCTCGGGGCTACAAGGACACCCATGTCGGGCACCAATTAGGGCTTTCTGCTCCCCTTTGTGCCCCTTGTGGGGCAGGAGCTCCTGGAGTGACAGTCCCTATAGAAGTGATGACAGAATACAAGTTTGTGGTGGTGGGTGCTGGAGGCATGGCAAAGAGTGCCCTGACCATGCAGGTGATCCAGAAACATTTTGTGGACGAGTATGACCCCATCATAGAGGACTCCTATCGGAAACAGGTCATCATTGATGGGGAGACATGTCTGCTGGACATCTTAGACACAGCAGGTCAAGAGGAGTATAGTGCCATGTGGGGCCAGTACATGCACACAGGGGAGGGTTTCCTCTGTGTGTTTGCCAACAACACCACCAAGTCCTTTGAAGACATCCATCAGTACAGGGAGCAGAGTAAGCTGGTGAAGGACTCAGACGATGTGCCAATAGTGCTGGTGGGAAACAAGTGTGATGTGGCCACTTGTACTGTTGAGTCTTGGCAGGCCCAGGACCTTGTACGCAGCTATGACATCCCCTACATTGAAACATCATCCAAGACCCGACAGGGTGTAGAGGATGCCTTTTACGCGCTAGTACGTGAGATTTGGCAACACAAAGTACAAAAGCTAAACCGTCCCGATGAGAATGGCCCTGGTTCCACAAGCCACAAGTGTGTGCTATCGTGATGCCAGATGGAGATACATGTGGGGCATACAGGATGACATGAGCTACAAAGATGGTGCCGAGAGGAAGTTAGCCCAAGTTGTTTACGCTGAGATTAGATACAAATGGTACTGAGAGAAGTGAGCCCAAGTTGTTTGCACTGAGATTAGATGCAAAACTCAGATTATGTCAGTGCATAAACAGCTCCTGGAAAAAGGAATGAGTATACGGTGACCTTTAGAACAATTGGTTTGGTCCTTCCATCCCCCCCAGGGTTCTGTGGTTTTCTGCTTTATAAGATGTTTACTGCTTAATAATAAAGGAGTTCCTGCTTGACATGACTCCCTGCTGTGTCTGATGAGCTCCGGGTAAGAGGGAGGCTGGGAAACCAATAAACGGCACACTTAACTTCCCTTGGCTCCAGACCACCTCCTCAGAGGTGACCTCAATTCCCAGTGGGGTGAGATCCCACATACATCATCAGAGCTCGTAAGACACTTGACAAATTTTAAACAGTGAACTAGGTTTTTTAAAAAAGGAGGAAAAACTTTCGCATGTCAAGAATCGAAGTGCACAGAGTTAGGACTATGTTTATTGCCACTATGAACGGCTTGCAAATGAAGAAACTAAATGAAGGTGTTGGCATTCTGGCCCATCCCTTGGGGATCCACCCTGTGTCCTGATGTAAGGCTCCTTTAGGGAAACACCCCTCCCTTCTTCTTCCCTTTCCCACCATGAGGTGTGCACAACTCCACTTTCCCTCTTTCTCTTCGTTTTCTTTCTCTCTCCTTCTTTTCCTATTTCTCTCTCGCGCTCTCCATAATAAACTCATGTGGATACAAGGTATGTAATGGGTAGTGGTTCCAGCTTTGACCTTGAAGCACCACCTCAGTGAGGCAGTTGGTAACTGTCACGCATACCTATGACCTGCCCCTGGGGTGTGGCCGAGATGGGAGCCCTCAAGACCAGAGATCTGTCTGGCCCTCTTCATTTCTCATGAACCTGGATGCTGGATGGCAGATCAAGTCAGAGTTTACTAGAGAACCCAGCTGGACTGCACCTCACCTCTCTCAGATTCTGTAAACAACCCCCTTACTGGCTGCAAGTTAGGAGTTGCCTTGATAAATGCCCACATTATCTGGCACTCACGTGGGGCATCCTCCAAATGGCTGGGCAGCCTCTGCCATCAGATTCCTCTATGGCTTCTGTGGCACAGTTTCCACAACTCCCACTCTTCCCTGTCTCTCTTCTTCCCTGTCTCTTTTAAAATTGACATCCCTCCTGGGGACCAAGTGTTTACCCATTCGGTCCATAACTTACCAGTACTGTTCCTTCCCTTCATTCCGCCTCCCTGGCTATTGGGCACGTGCACCCACCTGCCGAGTTCTGGATAGCTGACCACTCTCAGGGTGGGCACCAAGGAGCCCCTTCATAGCCAGTCTGGTTCTATTCCCCACCCAAAGGTGTAGTGGGTAGCCACTCCAGCTTTGATCTGGAAGTTCCAACCCCCACTGAGGCTTCGGTAACTATCATGCCTACAGGGTGGGGCCAAGGGAGGACCCGGAAGAACCGAGATCCGGATGCGTCGCACTCTCTTGGTTCTTAGACCCTGGACGCTGGAAGTAGAACGAGCAGAGTTCTCCAGAGAACATTGCTGGACTGCGCTACCTTTCCCAGACCCTGTAATCTATCCCTTCACTTGTAAGCTACCCCACAAAATAAACCTCCATTTTAACTACGTGGAGTGGCCTTAATAATTTCACCAATATCTGGCGCCCAACGTGAGGCAAATTCCATAGGCCTGGGTGTCTCCCACCCTCAGCTTCCTCCCCAGCTGGCAGGCGCTTAAAACTGCAGGGTACCACCTACAGAGCTCCAGGAAACCTGCACAGTTTCATTCCTGAAAAAGAGCTAATCCAGTCTCAGTTCCGAGGCAAGTTTAGTCCCCAGACCAGCGAAACCGCTGTGAGGTGTTCCCCCTCCTCCCTGAGTGCCGGCTCCCCGCCCCAGCTTGAGGCTTCCACAGTTTCACCTAGTGAAAATAGACATGGCACTGTCCCCTTTGGTGGCCCCTACAGAGGCACAGAGAGGGCTTGGAGCTGGGCCTGCTGGCAGATCTCCTGTCTGCAGAGGCAGAGAGGGCCTTAAAGCAGCCTGGAACTCTCCACGCTCTGAAGTTCCAGGGAGTCACCTGAAGAACTGCCTACTGCCTGTGCTCACTCTGCCGCCAGCCAAGACATTCAACAGGCCCTGCTTTGGAGCTATACCAACGCCTCCTGCTGGCTGAAAAGTGTTATTACACCACGAAAACATAAGGAAACCAGCGTCTTATTTCAAGTAAAAGTACTTGATAATTTTACACCTTAAAACTGACTAACAAAACTAAGCTAACAAATTTGTAATGTGGCCGACAACATTACTCACAAGAATTTAAAAAACCTTTTTGCTTATATGATGAATGACATTTTCCTGGAAATCTATGACCTTTCTAAGGCATATCTGGCCTGTACCATTTTGGCGTTCATCGTAGTAATTCACACAGTGTTCAAACACTGGTTTAATAATAAAAACAAAGATGAGTCATTATTGGGACTAATACAGACTGTAAAAGATAGCAATGAAGTCTTACAGAAAAAGATTCTCTCTGGAATCTGCTAACCTGGATTTACAAGCTTTAAAAGATAACAATGAAGGCTTACCAAAAAAAAAAGAAGATTCTCTCTCTAAAATCTGCTAACCAGGATTTACAGTGGCTGAGTCTGGTTCCAGGATCTGCAGGAAGCTTAGCCCCCAGACTGGCGAGAGCCACTATGAGTGAGCCACCCACCACCACGCAGGCTCCCACCTGAGCCCACAGCTTCCACCTTCTCACCCTCTCGCTCAGAGGCTGCCTAGTTAAAATGGAAGCCGATGCCAACCGTCATAGTCACTGCCTAGAACTCTCCCCACCCCGAGTTCAGGCCACTCAATTCCACACGTCAGCCTCTTGGCTGATGGAAGAGCGCTGAGGGGCGAAGGAGACCCCGAAAGCAAAGCCGGGCCCTAAAGCTCCAGGGAGAGGCAGAAAGGTACGCCGCCATGCTGCTGCCACCAATCCTCCAACGTGCACACGGGACACTCTACTCTCACCTGCAGCCACCGCAACCAGTCGTCACTGGGACCTGCTTTAGCACGACACTGGCGACTCATGTTGGCTGAAAAGCGCTGCTACACCCAAAAAACCATCCCAAGGACAGTAAGAAAAGCAAGCCAGTCTCTCACTTCAGGTAAGAGTAGTTAATTATTTTACAATTTGAAACTGTTTAACAAATTTTGAATACTCTTATATAATATTGTCGAAAATATTACTTCACAAAAAATTAAGAACTTTCTTGCTAATATAGAATATCACCACATATAGATCATAATGCTTTATAATAAATAGCCTACAATCATGGACATTAATCTAAACATTGTAGTGGGTAGCTAGCTGTTCCAGCTTTGTCCTGGAAGTACTAACCTCCAGTGAGGCCTCTGGTAACTGTCACGCCTACCCATGACCTGCCCCTAATGCAGGACCAAGACAGGAGCCCTTGAGAACCAAGGTCCGGATGTGCCGGTCTCTTGTTCCTGGTGATCCTGGATGGTAGACCAAGCAGTTTTCCATAGGACTGCACTTCACCTCTCCTGGATCCTGTAACCTATCCCTTTACTTGTAAGTTACCCCAAATAAACCTCCCTTTTAACTACGTGGAGTTGCCTTAATCTCCCACCAACTGGCACTCACGTGTGGCAAACTCCAAATGCCTGGGAGGCCTCCACCCTCAGCCTCCTGTGTGGCTGCTGTGCCACGCTTTCCACACTTCCCGTCTCTTCTTCCCTGTCTCTAAAAATTCCTGCCCCTCCTAGCAATCAAGCACATACCCATTCAGCCCATAACCTCTCAGAACTGTTCCTTCCCTCCCCTTCCTTCCTTCTCCATAGCTTGCAGGCACCTGCACCCACCTGCCGAGTTCCATATAGCCAGGGAGTACCTCTGCATTGATTCTGGTTCCATTCCTGAAGCAAGGGAACAGTCAAGTCTGGTCCCAGTTCCCCTGGCAAGCTTAGTACCCAGAACGGCGAAAAGCCACAGAGTGAGAAGCGTTCCACCAGGCCTCTGCACACCGTCTCACGCCCAAGCCCAAGGCTTCCACAGTCTCACCACCACTCTCAGAAGCTGCTCAGAGGCTGCCTGGTTAAAATAGACACAGGGCCAACCCCTGGCCGGCTCCCCAAGGGTGCTGCTTCTGGGGCTGCAAAGGAGCTGAGAGGGGCTTGTGTTGGGCCCTGGCCCCCTGCTCCTTGGGTAGCTGCTGACTTGCTTACTGACCTTTACCAGATGGCCTCCCTATGCTGATTTCCTGCTGGCTTCCTTCCTAGAAAACAGCTAACCTCAGGTTCCTTGTTCCGTGCATCCCGCATAGTTGAGTAAACAGCTAGGACGTGAGCTAGTGAACTTTTGCCCTCCCGGGTTTTTCCATCACGCTGTTAGTCTGTATTTAAGGTCCCTGCTTCCCTTCAATAAACAGCATTCTACTGATACAAATGACCCGCTGTCCTGTCCTCAGCCCCTCACTCGGACTTGATGAGTTGCTTTGTAGCGTGGCCACTACAGCCTCCAAGAAATCTGTCAGTTTGGGCCCCAGGAAAGCTGTTAGTTTAGCCTCCAGGAAATCTGTCGGTTTGGGCCCTGAGATTATCTGTCAGTTTGGGTCCAACCAAATCTGTCAAGGAGAATGTAGCTTTCAGTTTGGGTCCTGCCAAATCTGTCAAAGAGAAGGCAGCTATCAAGTCATGTGCTGCTATCCCCTCTGCTCCAACACCACCACTGGCAGCTACCCCTCCGCCGCAGTATTCTTGGGGTGATCTACCACAATACCTGCCTGCCTCAGGAGGTGGCTACTCTCCCGTGGTGCCAGGTGTCTTACAACCCTCACAGCCTGTGCCACTGTCAGTCCATAGGCCCATAGAAGCCTTATAGACTGGGAGCCTAAATGCCAATGCCCAGCACTGGATTCCCATCCCCAGAGCTGATCTCTTCTTCATCTGGAAGGCCACCAATGAGTCAGGCCCAGATTCCCCCTACTTTCAGCAGGTCATTGCTAAATGGTCCATGCAGTAACAAACTTATTTCTATTGGTACCATTTGCTTTTAAAGCTGTGTTAGAGCCTGAAGTCTTTCTTAGCTGAAAATCAGTCTATGAGGATCAGGCAGAATCCCAGGCCCGAACGAACATCTTACATAATGTCCAGGTGACCTATGATATGCTCACAGAGTGTAGGAAATATGTCCATCCAGTGCACCAGGCACAGATTGGCTTCAATGCCTATTTTCAACAAGTCTCGGACCTGGACCTCAAGGCCCCCAGAGCCTATACTTCCGCAATTTTATCCAACAGCCCGGGGAGCTATTCACCAACTTCTTGGCCCGTGTGAATGAGGCAGTAGAGCACAGAGTGGATGTGGGCCCCACTAGACACATGCTATTAACAACTGACTTGGGAGGGACTCAATACCCAAATCTGTAATACAGCTATGTGGTATAAGGACATACATAAAAATGGGTGCAGGCCACCAGAGACCTTGACCCCAGCACCAGTCCAATCGTTGCTCTTACTGCCTCCCTGGATGCTTGCCTCACTGACAAGCAGGGTACTAATGACACTCCCAAGGGTCCTCAGGTAGACAGAACTTGCTGGGGATGTGGCAAAACAGGCTATCTGTGGCATGACTGCCCCCGGGCAGAAACTATGATCTGATGCCCCAGATGCAATAAAGGATTTCATTGGGCAAAGGATTGCAGGTCACAGCTTGCTGAAACACCAGCCCCTTTACACTCCAGGTGAGGCACTCCTCAGCCCTGCCAGTAAAAGGCTCTGGTAACCCAAAATCTATTAAGACAATGCCCATCTTTCCAAAGGTTTGGTTGACAAGGGTGCAAATGCTACCATTTTAACCAAGACTGGGATTCTTCACTTCCAACACTGGAAGTTTAAACCTAGCCCCACTATGATTCGTGTGGGAGGCCTACTAGATTCTAAGATGAACACCCATCCAGTCCATTGGATGGATCTTGATGGCAATCGGGAAGCCATTCACCCTATCATTTCCAATGTACCTAGAAACCTCTGGGGCAGAGATATAAGTGTAGTCCTAATTATAGATGACAGGGCATTTTTTGATGACATCAAGGTCCATGAAAAGGCATGTCTTGTGGTCCGTGGCCCTGCACAACATATGCACCCCCAATTCTGAAGGCCACTGTCCCCATGAGATCCACCACAACCAAGCCCCCTAGCCCCATTCCATTGACGTGGCTCTCAGATCAAGAAGTGTCAGGGACAAGGACAGAACCTCTAGCTAATGGAAAAATACAGACCTTTAGAAGAGCTTAATGGAAAAATACAGGCCCCTGATAAGATAGGAACAAGACCATCTTGCAGTCAGGTTGCCTAGCGACAGGACATTGAGTCAGAAACCTTGGCCTTTTCACCCTGCCAATATTTTGCACAAACATCCTGCAGCTGTGTTAACTTCCTTCATGTAGATAACAGTTTCCTGCTCACCCTTCCCTTCGAGAGTTATATGAACCCTCTTGGAGAAAAATAAAGTTGCACCTTGATCAGAATCCTGTCTTGGTGTCTTCCTTTGTGTCTTCTATCCTTATCATTCCATCCTTATTAATAACCTCTTTTCCGTCAGGGGAATGTTTATGGACCTTTGTGTCCATAAACATGGGGATGGCTCGGGGACTGTTTAGATGATTACTACAGGGCTTTTGGACCAGAGAAGGTCCCCGTCACCACATTCTCTTACTGGAACCTTATTAATGACATTCGTAGGGTCCATAAACATTCCCGATGGAAAAGAGGTTATTAATACAGGAGAAAAAATCTTAAAAGAAGCCTTCCGCGTCCCCTCTACCTGCCCTCAGACCCCCCTAGTGCTTTCTCGTGCGCCTTCAGTCAGTCCCTCGGACCACGTCCTGCGCTCTATGTAAAAGGGGATGCTCATGACTTCTGAACCTAAGAATCCTCAGGACTCCGCCCCTCCCCATCTCCATCCCTCTCTTAATAATCTTACCTCTAACTCCCCTCTAGACCCCACCGAGGAAGCTTCCCTAGAGAAAGAGGCGGCCCATTACCACAATCCAGACTGGCCACCCTACAAAAATCTCCCCTTAAAACAGGGGTCCCTGGGCCCTTTTAAACCACCTCAAAAATCTCCGGCAGTTCCCCCTTCCACAACGCCCCCTCCCTATGTTTCTCCATCTTCCCACGTTTGCGGGCCGACCTTGATGAGTTGCCCCCCCATCCCAGATCTCGGCTCACTGTGACGGGCTTGCAGGGAACATATTGAGTTTTTAAGGGAATTAAAAATTATTGACAAAGAACTTAAAGACCTCGTCCTTGAGGCGGTGGCTCCCGGCTCGCTAAAACCATCTCAAAAAACTATTAAATCAAAAATTAAGTCTCAGCCTGTCCTGGCATTTCCCATTACCCGGAGCCAGACCTCTGGGGACTGATCTGAGGCGGGTGTCCAGAGCGGCCCCTCAGAGGGTTTGGAAGACCAAAATGAGGAGGAGGAGGAGGAGGAGGAGGAGGAGGAACCGTCATCAGAGGACCCCCCGCCAGGACAGACTTGCCAAAAATTAAATTTCTGCCTTGTTGAAAAGCTTAAATCCGCCTGGGCTCAGTATGGTCCTACGCCTCCTTTTACATAAGCCTTGGTGGAAAACCAGAGTGAACATTGGTTGACCCCTAACGACTGGTACTTTCTTGCCCATGAGGCTCTTTCGGGGGGTGACTTTGTCCTCTGGAAAACAGAATTTACAGAAAACGGTCGAGAGGTTGCTCAAAAAAATATTTAACAGTCGTCCTCAAAAACTTGGACGCTAAAGAAACTTCTCGGCAACTCCCCCATGATGCAAATGAAGCACAGGCAAAATTCCCTCCCGGCCTCCTGGCCCAGATTCAAAACGCTGGGGTCCGGGCCTGGAAACACCTTCCCCAAAAGGGGTCAGCTACCACCTCATTGGCAAAGATTCATCAGGGCCCTGATGAGGTTTTTAGCGATTTTGTCTCTCGCTTAAATGATGTTGCCGAGAGACTGTTCGGGCCGGGCGAAAACAAAAGTACCTTCATTAAACACTTGGCCTTTGAAAACACAAACCCTGCCTGCCAGGAAGTCCTCCGCCCCAAGAAAAACAGGGTGGACCTGTCTGAATAGTCAGACTCTGTTCGGGTGTTGGTGCCCATGCCATGGGATTAGCAATCGGTGCCACCCTGAGGGCTTCGCAACAGCCTGGAACCCACACCTGTTACTCCTGCAAACAACCCAGACATTTAGCTAGGGAATGCCCCCAGAAAGGTAACAGCCTCGTGCCCTTAGCCCAGCCAGCCCAGGAGGCTGCCTCTATAAGGCCCCCGCTGCAACAAGGGCCGTCACTGGGCTAGTCAAAAACCAATTATCTTGGTCAACCCCTTCCTCCGCGGGTGCCGGGAAACTTCCAGAGGGGCCAGGGCCTCCATGAGGAGAGCACCCTGGGGCCTTGAGATCCACTCACCCCCTAGCTCCCCAGCCTCAAAAAATTCCCCCACCCCAGATCCCTTCTCCTCCCTCCGAAGAGCAACTCCAGGCAGTGCCGGATTGGACTTGTGTGCTGCCACCGAAACAGTATTAAACTCCCTTGAGGGGGCTCAGGTCATCCCTACAGGGGTGACAAGACCCTTACCTCCTGATGTTTGCAAGTTTGTCCTTGGCTGTGCTTCTGTGGCCCTCCGAGGGGTCCAGGTCTACCCTGGCATGATAGTGATTTCACGGGGGAAATTGAGATTCAGGCCACTACAGT